AATAATAATAATAATAATAATAATAATAATAATAATAATAATAAATGGAGAAGATACTATAGGGCCTTCGCACTCTCAGAAAGAGGAAGGGGAGCAAAAGGGAAAATTTTCAAATAAAGTGGGAACAGGTTGATGGACTGTGTAAAACTTGTGGGAAAGTATCCCCCAAAACCCCAATTGCCACCCTGTGCTACCTCATTTTTAAGAATATTGCCAGGTAATGACCCTTCTTTAAGATAGGCCCTAAAAAATGTCCTTAATTGTCAGGTTTTCTGCTTATCGCTGCATTTTTAATAGCAACATTCAACAACAGTGTCCATTTTTCCTTAGTGGCAACAACAAACACCAAAGGTTAACTAAGACTGTTTATTGTTTACACTGAGTAAAGACAGTTCAAATTCTCAAATGCAAGTACCGATTTTACTTTAGTAATAAATTAAATTTTCTTCTTTTTGTTGTGGTATTTTTTCAGTGTTTGATGTCTAATATATTGGTGCACATTTCTCAATGTCTACACTACAGTCACATGAGAAATGGAATTACACCTTTTATTATTTATTTATTATGTCTAAGTTTTTATGTAACAAGACATAAAAGAAATCTGGTCCTGAGCAGGTTCTAAAATAATTTAAATATAATCTCATATGAACAACAACATATTTATTTATCGAAAACTAAGCCTACTTTTAGCCCCAGTAACTTGAAGTCATCGTTTTCTGTATGACTTTATCAGTCTTTCATATCATTGTGGTGGAATTTCGTCCCACTGTTCTTTTACAACAGCTAATTGTAAAGAACAGCGGGCATTCATTGAGACTGGTATGCATTGTCTAAAGTCCAACACATTTCAGTCAGATTAAGGTGATTCCAACTCTTGGATTTTTTTGTAGATTTGCTAATGTGTTTGGGATCATTGTCCTGTTATGTGACTCGTTTTCAGCCAAGCCCTAGGGGTTGGACAGATGGCCTCACATTTGACTCTAGAATACTTTGGTATACAGAGAAATTCACAGTTGGCTCAAGGACTGCAGGATACCCAGCTTCTGTGGCTGTAAAATAATCCCAAATCATCATCCTTTCACCACACATAAAGTGTTTGTTAATGTTGTGTTTGGTTTTTACCAAACACTTCATATCCGGCTAACACATAACAATGCTCTGGACCAGTACACTTCCAAAATGTCTCTTTTTCCAGAGGTGGCCACACATGCTGATGATCAATCAATCAACGAATTTTCATTAGTACTTGCTCTCTTAATTCCTATAAAAGCATTGCTTTAGAGGAGCATATACATTGCCTCTGCATTTTTGCTTAAGTTCTGTTAAATTAAAAAAAAAACTTTTTAATATGTCAAGCATTGTTCTTCATCTGTGGTTTGATTT